GTAACGCCCACGCAGCTATCGGCACAGCCTTCCCTGGTCTCAGACAGATTGCAGGCAAGCGCATGAAAAGTGGGGCCCTCAAGTTCACTACCATCGAACAGCTTCGCCGATCGTTTCAACGCCCCACTGGCCGATGACTTCGACTGGGACTCCCTGGGCAAGTTTATCTCTGACGGCCTAAACGAGATCCTCTCGACGCCTGCCTTCCATGTGCTCATCTACCTGGTGGCGGGGCTCCACCCTCATGAATTCTCGCTGTCCGAGACGCCGCGGCAGCCTGGCAGACTCGACCGGAAGGCGTGGCGCGGTCGCACCTGGGCTTCCTGTTCGACATGTCCCTGGGTTTAGACGCGACCAATCTGGTTTACAATTTGCTTTGGGCAGCCATAGTGTGGTCACTCGGCCTTGGCGTTCCCTGGGAGGACGCAGACCACGCAGTGTGCAACGACTCCCCCCCCCCGGTGCCGCGCGCCAGGGGCCTACGTGCAACGCTCTGCGGGCGGCGACAGTGCACTTCCAAGGGACTTTTCCGACAGGTTCCCCAGGCGTGGAGTGCAACGACCAAGGATTGCTGCAGGCACAGGAAGCACCCTGGGATGGTTGGCCCGCAGGAGATCTTAGGTAGCGCTTCCGTCGATCCAACCAGGGGCCGACTCCGGGAGGAGATCAAGGACACAGACGGCCTCCCCATGGAGTCTTGCAAGACCCGCTCGCTCCTGGTGGTCATGATGTTAATGCTCCGCGAGCCGCGCGCGTTCTTGTGGCCGTTCCCGCGCGCCGAGCAGGCTGGGGACGTGATTGAAGCCATCCTGGGTTTCTGTGTCCCGTGGCAGGAAGCGCATCGAGGGTCCCGGCAGGGCTTCGCGAGCACCTGGGGCCTCACGCTGGAGGACCTGGCCGATCTCCACGGGCGCATCGAGGCAATCCTGCCGCACATCTCCAAGCTCGTAGCGGTGGCACACCACCACCCCGACGCACAGGCAGCTGGCTGCCCGCAGACCTGGAGTGAATTGGACAGGCATGACGTCCAGCTGAAGGCACCGATGCTCGTCCTCGAGAAGATCGTCCCAGCCGCCTCACTGACCCCCCTGGGTACGCACCACTGCTCCGTGTGCGCGCTTCACATCGTGCTCGCGGGCTCAGACGCCTCCCTGGGCGACGACGACCGGGGTGCTGGGCTCGCCTACATCGGCGGCGGATTCGCGCTTTCCAACACCGATCTGAACGCCCCCATGCCGTCCGCCCCCGCCCCAGGTACCAAGCAGGGCCCCCCGCGCATCCTCGACGACAGGCTGTTGGCTGAGCAGAAGCATGGCAGGTTCAAGTGCGACAGATGCGGCAAGGATCAGCTACGCTCCACAGACGGCACATGGATCTCGGAGGATACTCGCCTGATGGTAGCGCAGAACCGGCCCCAGGCCTACCTCGACGGTACAAACATGGGATGGCACTGCGAGATCTGCTGGATTCGAACCCTGGAGGACAAGCGCGTCCCAGCACCAACCGGTGCAACAGTCGCGGATAAGGTCAAGGAGCACGAACGCTGGAGGACCGGTGGCGCACGTGACAAGAAGGCGAGTGCCCTTTCCTCCCTGGGTCATCTCCCACTTGGCTTTGGATGCAGCCCCCAATCAGACGCGAGGACACTGGCGGATCTCATCATGCCGCCGGCGGGCATGCACATCCCAAAGCGCGCCAACAACACGATCCCATCCTACGGGTCAGGGATGAGCGATTCGGCCTCAAAGCTGCGGAGAACAAGGTCTACTCTGCTCGGTGCGACACATGCCCCCCAGGGGCGCCGCTCCTAGTCTGGAAAACCGGAGCACCTCCGCTGGGATGCTTCATATGGAAGCCAAAGGAAGGAGTGGGTGTGCCCGAGCAAGCAGGGCTGCCTCCCATTGAGCGGCGAGCCATGGCCTGGTGGGGGCGCGACTGGAATGCCACGTGGTGCTGCCGGCGGTGCCTGGGGACTGGGGCGCTCTTGGGGGCTGCAGGGGCGCTCTTGGGGCCATCTTGGAGGAGATCGATCGACGAAGGGGGTTCCTTAATTGGCCTCCCCCTCAGGAGCTCCAAACATCGCCTCTTGGGGCGCTCTTGGGGCGCTCTTGGAGCGCTCTTGGGGCCGTCTTGGGGCTCTCTTGGGCCTCTTGCGGGGCCCTCTTGGGCCATCTTGGAGCCATCTTGAGGCCTTGGATGGCCATCGGAAGCGAAACGGGGAGAAAACAAAACACCTTGATTCCCTGGGGTTTTGGGACGATTTTGGCCTCCTCGGGGCCCCCCTTGGGGAGCTCTTTGGCCACTTGGAGCCGTCTTGGGGCCGTCTTTGGCCCTCTTGGAACCATCTTGGGAGCCATATCGAGCGATCTTGCGCTATCTTCAGCCATCTTGGAGCTCATCTTGGGCTCTCTGACGCGCTCTTGAAGTCATCTTGGGGCCAAAGAGCCGTCCGACCGCTCGCGAAACCCTCCGTCCAGGTCCAGGGGAGGGGGTAGGGGGAGGGGTAAACCCTTCCCCAAGGGGGAAGAGGGAGGGGTGGAAGAGGATCTGTTTTAGACCACCTACGCCCAGAGGGCTGGTGGGATTCGGAGCATGCGCAGCGAACCCGATGCAGCCTCCCCCCACCATCCCTGTCACAAAACAATGCAACATATACTTGGCGGCGGCGGCGGCGGGGGCAGCGGCTGCGGCGGCGGCGGCGGCGCGGCGGCGGCGGCGGCGGCCGGCGGCGGCGGCGGAGGCGGCGGCGGCGGCGGCGGATGCGCCCCCAGTAGCTACCCATCCAAGAACGACTGCTGAATATGCTGCGGCTCGGGCCAGGCTCGGGTGTTGCGTATGTCTTGGGAGGGCGGGTGGGAGTGAGCGAGACGGCTTGCGGGCGGGGAGGGGGTAACTTGACCCCTCCTCCTACCCCCTCCCCTGGACCTAGACGGCGTCGGTCGCGAGGTGTCAAAGGGTATTTGTTCGCTATTACTAAACACTGACAGTGTCGACACTGTCAACACTGACAGTGTCGACAGTGTAGACACATTAACTTACTTGTTCGCGTCGAAAGTGTTGATCACTGTTCCCTATTAGTAAACACCCCCTCCCCCAGGCGACTGGGGGCCAACCCGAGTCCATGCTAACACTCCCCCCCCCACCATCCCTTGTAACAAAAACAATACAAACACACACTCCGCCTCCAAATTCGGAACATGCGCAGCCAACCCGATGCGGCCCCCCCCACCATCCCTGTCAAAAACAATACAGAGTAAGCGGCTGCAGCTGCGGCGGCGGTTTGGCAGCGGGGGGCGGCGGCGGCTGCGGCGGCGGCGGCGGCGGCGGCGGCGGCCGGCAGCAGGCGGCGGCGGCGGCGGCGGCGGCGGCGGCGGCGCGGCGGGGGCGGCGGCGGCGGGCAGCGGCGGGCAGCGGCGGCGGCGGCGGCGGCGGCGGATTGGCCCCCAGTAGCTGCCCATCCCAAGACGACTGCTGAATATGCTGAGGCTCGGGCCAGACTCGGGTGCTACGTATGTGTTGGGAGGGCGGGTGGGAGTCAGCGAGACGGCTTGCGGACGGGGAGGGGGTAACTTGACCCCTCCTCCTACCCCCTCCCCTGGACCTAGACGGGGTCGGTCGCGAGGTGTCACAGGGTACTTGTTCGCCCAAGACGGCCCCAAGAGGGCCTCAGAGAGCCCAAGATGGCATCCAAGATGGCGCAAGATGCCTCGATATATCTCCGAATATGCTCCAAGTCGCCCGCTCTAAGTTGCCAGAAGAGCCCCCAAATCATGCCCCCAAGAGGCTAAAATCCTTCAACAACCTTTGGAGCAAAAAACACATTGTGGGGCTTTCTCGCCTTCCCGTTTCCCGTTTAAGATAGCTCCAAGATGGCCCACGAGAGCCTTAAGAGGGGCCCACAGGAGCCCCAAGACGGCCCCAAGAGCGCCCAAGAGCGTTCCGCTCCAAGAGCGCCCAAAGAACGCTCAAAAAGGCGACTTGGGGGCTCCCGAGGGGAGAGGCTAATTAAGCGAACCCCCCTCTTTGAACCTTTTCGCTTCCGATGGCCATCCGAGGCTTCAAGATGGTTCCAAGATGGCCCAAGAAGGCTCCAAGAGTGCTCCCAAGGCTCCCAAGAGCGTTTCAAGAGGGCCCCAAGGCCCCAGGAGGCCCCAACTGGCGCCCTAGAAGCCTCCAGGAGGCTGCCGAGAAACCCCCAAAAGGCCCCAAGAAGCTCTGCGAGGCACCCAAGACGCTCTAAGAAGCACCCAGGACCGCCAAGAGGCCCCCAAGACGCTCCACAGGACCTCCACTGGGGGACCCTTTCTCTGTGTGTTGCCCGCTTCCCTGATCGAGGCGAGGAGGAGGGAGGAGGAGGGAGGGGGAGGGAGGGGGAGGAGGAGGGAGGGGCAGGAGGAGGGAGGAGGAGGGAGAAGGGAGGAGGAAGGGAGGAGGGTGGAGGGAGGAGGTCTGGGGTACCCTCAAGCAAAGATCGACCAGCACCTCGAGGCGGATCGAACCTGGGCGACCGGGGCGCCCCCAGAGGGCCAGAAGCCCCTCGATCCTCGATCCTCCTCCTCACGGTCTCGGCACGCCTCGATCCTCATCCCTCCTCCTCTTCCTGCGCGCTGTTCTCGTCCAAACTGCCCAGAACGTCCACTTTGTCGTTCTCCCCCCGCTCACCCTCACCCTCTTTCCTCCTTCCTCTTCCCCAGTCTCCCGAGATTTGATCTTGACATCTCGAAAATCACGACCGGGGCCCGAGACCGTATATGTTTCATCTTTAGAGCCAGATCGATATGTGATGGTCGCGGGACCCGAAGCCAGGCGAAAGCGCCCAGTGTGAAAGAGATGTAACGCCCGAGTCTCACGGTGCCTTTTCATGCTTCTCCTTCTCCTCCTCCTCCTCTTCGTCCTCCCCCTCCTCCTCCTCCTCCTCCTCCTCCTCCTCCTCCTCCTCCTCCACTCCCTCCTCCTCCTCCTCCTCGACCTCCTCCTCCTCGACCTGCTGACCTCGGCAGGAGATGTTGGGGCAGCGGCTGGCCAGCGTGCAGGGCGGGGGCGCCCACTTCGGCTTCGCGATGCTCCGCCCCGTGGGCGTGACGAAGGCGCGGGCCCAGGGGGGGCCTCGTGGGGCGGGGACCTCTCCCTACCTCCGTCGAGCTGTTTTTTCCAGCCCAGCATTTTCCTCGACTTCAGCTCGAGTAGTGGATCGATCGACTACATAGTCGATCTACCCCCAAAATGTTCGTCGAACCCATGGAAAAGAAACAACATCTTTCTGGTAGATACGACGAGGAAATCAAGTCTGGGACGATTCAATGCGGTTTTTTCGTCGATCCCCTACACGATCAGCCTTCGAGGGCCGTTCTCGGGGTCCGGGATGGGACCATCACAGATGGACGTGAACTTGGGGCTCGACGAATGTGGGAGGCGCCACTCGGTCTCGGAGTCGGTGATCCACCGGTCTGGGCGAGGGGCACTCCACCCTGCATCCAGGAGGGTCGCCACCGTCGCCGACAGCGGGCCTCGCACCAGCCGCCAGCGCTGGGCCCCCGCGGCCTGGAGACGTGGGCGATCTTCGCCCACGAGCGCTCGATCCTCGGGTGGAGCTCAGGATGCCCAGCCCAGAGGTCGAGCCAAGCCGCCAGCTGCTCTCTCGGGATCGTCTTCGCTGGGTCGGCACAGCCGTAGGCGATCGCCAGCGTCGTGGTGAGGCAGCGCCCAGGGCCCTTGCCAGCCGCTGCCCTCGCTGCCTGCCTCCTCAGCCTGAGCACCTCGTAGTGCGGGAGGCCGTGCGCCTGGTGGCCGTAGGCGCCCTCCGCCGTGGAACCCGTTCCTCAGAGCCCACGCGTCACCTTCTTGGCGGGCGTGGCGTCTCATGCGCATGATGGCCCCTGCTCTGCGGGCGCCGCTCTGCATCCGTTGCCTGCCCCGCAACCTGTTGCGAGATCGAGCGGCGTTGCAGTCCACCCCAAGGTCTGTGAACCGTACCTTCGCAGTGGCGGGGATCCCATTCTTCTTGAGGCCTCGGGCGATGTCCTCTGTCAGGCGGGTGGCGCTGGCCACAACAGTCGTCTTCACCGATATGTCTAGTCCAGCCTCCTGCATACTGCGGCCCAGCTCGGTGGTGCTCTCCACTACCGTCTGCTTGACCACTGCAGGCGTGCCCTGGGCGCGCAGCACCGTGTCGTCCACGTACGTCCAAAGGCCGATGCGCGCCTGCTATTTCAGATGCGCACGATGCAACAGCGGGCCCAGGAACGCCTTGGCCAGCGGGACTCCGTGGGGCGATCCCGCCACCAGAGAACGCCAGGGCGTGATCTCCCTGCTGAGCCACTTCCTATCCTTCAAGAAACGGGGCGCCGGGAACATCTGCAGCTCCATACATGCACAATCGCTGGGAACTGCTGGCCCAGCGCGTGTCGTACCAGGACTGGGAGACTGATGCTGTCGTAGAACTTGGCCAGGTCCAGCAGCACCGTCGCACTAGATACTCCCAATGTCCTGGCTGTCTCATCCAAACAAGCTCTCAAGATGGACGCCTGCAGCGCCAACGAGCCCGCGATTGCGGTGTCCCAGAACTCACCCAGCTCCTCACTCCACTGCGCCGTCACCGAGCCGCGGAGCTTGCTCCAGGTCTTCATCAGGAAGGGGAGCTGGCCAAGGATGCGATCCCCGCCTTTGGCCTTGGGGACCACCGCGCCCAAGGTGCCGAAGATCTGCCTCGGCCAGACACCGTTCTCCTCGATCGCATTGAGGAGGTTCACCATCTCAGCTCGGCCCTCCTCAGGGAGCCTCTGGATCTCCAGCGGCCCCAGCGCATCTCCGCCCTTGGCCTTCTTCGCGCTCATGGACGGGAGGAGCCTGTCCAGCTGCGCGAGCTCGATGGGCGGCAGAGACTCCTCTTGCGTGACTCTCCTGACCTTCTCAACACCCTGCAGCAGCATGTCCACCGTCACCTTGGGGTCGCCCCAGATCGCCTCCCACTCGTCCGCGCGCCTGTCCATGATGGCCGCGGGGTCGGCGAAGACGGTGGCCTTGTAGACGTGCTCGTCCTTCGGGATCTGCACCGCGTCGCCCTGCTGCTTGACGTTTCTGGGACGCCTGGGGCCTGCTTCCACATCTTGGTGGCCCACTGCTGGAAGGCCCTGCTCGACTTCCCCAGACTGGCTCCTACTACTCGGGTTTGGAACCTATCCGCCATCTCGCAAATGGTCGGGATGTCATCATCATCTGGCTGCTCTGGAAGGTGCCTGACCGCCGCCAGCCAGGTGATCCAGCTGTCGCCCGTGTCCGCCTTGAACATGCCGTCTAAGTCGAGCTCTTGGGCCGAGTCCAGCAGCTCTGCGAACTTAGCGTCACACGCGGCCCTCTCGGTCAGACGCCCGCCTCTCCGCAGTAGCAGGGATCTGCGGAGCAGCGCGGTGGCTATCGCCCACCACTCCAGCAGCGGGTCCCTGGGGTGGGCCCGTGCTGGGGTCGCCTTGGTTCGAGCCCAGCCAATCGCGAAGCCTTTGGCTCGCCCGACGAAGCGGTCGCGCAGCTCGTCCTCAATCTCGTGGTGGGTCAGCGTGGGCTGCTCCACCGTCTTGATCCAGTCTCCAAACATGTTGGACACGTAGTCCGTGGCGACAGGGTCGCGCATGAGCAAGTAGTGCGCGTCCGTCTGCCTCGCGTGCCGGGCCGTGCCTGGCGAAACTCTCTTGGGGGCGCTGCGTTCGCTCAGCGCCGTCTTGGCGTCTACGCCTCGCCAGCGCAGCGTCTCGGTCTCGGGGGTGGTCGGGGAAGCCGTAGAACATGGGCTGGCACAGGACGCTCCCACTCCATTAACTCCCCTTGGGAGGCCGACGCGCCACGGCGGCTCGACTCCGAACGGAGGCCTCGCATCGTGGGGGGAAGGTGGAGCGGGGTCCTGTCCTGCCAGGGGGCCTCTCGAAGTAGGCGCCGAAGATGAGGGCGGAGCGAACTCTGTGGCCCCCTCCTCGTCGTCGCATGGCGAGCCTGGGCGGGCCTGGCGCCGCGTCTCCACCGATGCACGCCGCAGGTGAAGGGCCCCTGGGGCGCCTGATCCTTGATGCCGTCGTAGAGCTCGTCGAACGCGTCCTGTAGAGCCGCCTCCAGCTCGGCTCGCCTGCGGTCGCGAGCTGCTCGAATACCCTTCTGTCTCTTGCTGGTGGGGTCGGCCGCCTTGACCTGTCTGGGCACGGTGGGGAGATCCTTAGCTACCATGAGCTGCCTGTGCCACCATCGCTTCTTGCCCTCCGCCAGCGTGAGGCAGAGGCCGACACGGTCCTTCCATGGGACCTCGATCACGGCCTTCAGGTGGTAGCGGTTGGTGGTGCCCGCCTTGACCATCGCGTAGTCGATCTGGCTGCCGCCGCCTTGCACGTGCATGTGCAGTCCTGGGGGAGGATGATCTCGCCCTTGAGTTTCTTGAGCCAGCTGAAGCCCGCCCCCGTCCACGCCTCAGGTTGGATATTCCAGTGGTTGCCTGACTTCAGGTGCCAGACGACAGGGCAGAATCCAGCGAAAGGGTCCTGCCCGCGCGCCTCGATGCCAGCCGCACGCCAACCTTCGAAGCTGGTGGTCTGGATGCTCTTTTTGGCTAGCGCCCACTCGCCTCCTGACGAACCTGTGGCCGAACGCGCCGTCGGCCTAGCTGGTGTCGCAACCAGCTTCCATCCGTCTTTGCTGAGCCCTGCATGGGCTGGCTTCAACTTGGTGCCTTCGCTGTGGGTCTCGGCGAGGGCGATGAGGTCGTACTGCACGGCCTGGCCTCGCATGAAACCCTGGGCCTGCGGGCCCCATTCAGTGATGTTCGAGAAGAAGATAGTGGCATGCCCCTGGTGAGCGGCGTCAAAGCCGCTGCTGGGCCTTGACGTTGGCGTCAGCCCTCGCCGCTGGGGCCGCACCCGCGCCGCCTCCCGGAGCGGCGCCGCCAGCAGAAGCAGCAGCATCGCCTGCAGCAGGCGGGGCAGCCGCAGGCTCCACGGCGGAGGGGAGCCTGGCGCGCGCCTCCGCCACCGACTGGGCGAACTTCTCCTTGGCCATCTGCTCCAGCTCCTCGTCGGCGCTGTCCAGGCCTGGGACCGCCGTGCCAATGCCCTTGGCCCCGTCTTCGGACCCGTCCTCCTCCATGGAGGCGGAGGCCTCTTCCTTGGGCTGGTCGTCGATCCGCATCCGCTTCTGGGGCTTGGCCTTGATCTGCAACACCTTCTGTCGCAGCTCCTTGACCTTTGCCTCCTCCTGTGCGATGTTCTGCCACGAGGCCTCCAGCGCCGCGCGGTGCGTCTCCAGCTCCGCGCGGGCCTCGCTGTCCAGCTCCTCGATCCCCTCGTTGAGGAGGACCGTATCGAAGGCGAAGTTGATCTTCTTGCCGTCCTTGGTGTATCCTTCCGCTGGCTCAACCTGCTTCGCCAGTGAGCGGACGGCCTGCTCGTGCTCATGCTTGGCCTGCAGCATCTCACGCGTGGCCGTGATGTTCGCTTGCTTGGCAACCTCCAGCTGGATCTCCGCCTTCGCGAAGACGTCCGCCGCCCGCTGCAGCACATTCTGCTTGTGCTGCAGGGCCTGGGCCGTGGACTGCACGAGCTGCGATGGGGACTTCTCCTTCGGCGGCGGCGGCTTGGGCATGACCTTCTCGACCTTTCCTGGATGGCAGCGAGGTCCCCTTCGAGCGCAGGGCAGTGGGAGAGGAGGGTCTTGAGCGCCGCCGTGATCGCCTCCGCCTCCGACTTGTCCTGGCCGTCCTTGTTGGCCGTCCTGTACGTCTGATTCCCCCATCTGCGGGCCTTGGCCCATGGCGGAGGGTTGTCCTTGTTGGCAGCTGTCTGGCTTGTGCTCTTCCCATTGTAGAGGTCCACCGTGCTGCCGCACTTGATGCACTTGCCTCCATTGCGCACGATCCTGAAGTGTACGCCCACTGCTGGCACCCAGCGCACACCGAGAATGGCTTGCGAGCATTCCCGTATCCCATGGTGCTACGCTGGAACGATGAGGGCTTGAATGATCGACGCACTCTGGGCGTCGGGATCGGCGGGGCCCTGAAAGCAAATTGGTCGAGCCGCGGACTAGCGGTATCCACGTGTTCCCCTGCGGAACAAGCATCTTGAGACACATGGCTACGGAGGAGGAGGAGGAGGAGGAGGAGGGGGAATCTCGCAAAGGGAGCGCGCGTGCAAGGAGCGGTATGCGGTGACCGTCACGGCGGAGACCATGTGCCAGGCGCCCCCCGACGACGGCCGAGAGCGACTATCGACAGCGGCGCCACGGTCGGTGCGCTGGGCGCCCGGCTGCTGGTCGCGTCACTGGTCTTGGGGCTGTTGTTGTTGCTGGTGATGATGGCGACGATGCGATGACGATGACGATGAAGATTACGACATGAGACGCCAGGTCTCAGCGGAGGGCCTCGTTGCCTTGCCCTTCCTCCTCCCTCCCCCGGTTCCCCCCTCCTTTTCCGACGTCGTGGTTGTTTCATGATTGCATTATGTTGTTGGTTGTGGAGATCTCGTTTCTGGAGCATGCTTATTGTGGATCCCCCCGCAGGCCAGCACTGGTTCTTTGCAATCAAAGTGTGCCCCTCGACGCTTGCACCGTGTGTTTGTCAGGGGATCTCTTGGTGCTCACATTGGATTGTTGGGCCCTCCAGGTACAACAATGGCTCTCGCCTGGCACCTCCTCAGAGTATACCGAGGAATCGCGTTCTCGCCCGAGAGTTCCATGCCATTTGCTCGAGAATCGGGGTTTCGCATTGGACTTCTTCGCAATTATCGCGCGCTCGCCTTTCAGGTTAGGAATCGCGCTCTCGCTGGGGACCGTCTTTTTCTTGGAGCCGCCCGCAGAGCGGGAGTCACGGATTCCTATCTCGGAAACAGCGGGTGTTCGGGGGTATGGGGTATGGTTTCGACGAAGATCGGTACCAACCGTTTGAATATGTGTGCTTCAGGCGGTGTTTGCGTTTTTTGGGGGGGGCTCGGGCGGTCTTTGGTGCTAATTGCGGGCTTTCAAACATCCGTGAGGCACAAAGCGATCGAGGGGTGCGCCGAACTGAAGTTTCCTTGAGTGGTCTTCAGATGCTGGCTGGATGCCTCTGGGGGTACATTGGCATGAAGTGCGGCAGGGGTGCGCCGGAGTGAGGTGCCCTTGAGCCGCCTCGAAGAGCCAGCTGGGCGTTTCCGGAGGTCCATAATGCACGAGAGCAGTGCGGGGCGCACAGAGTGTAGGTTCCCGAGAGAACTGCTATACGAATTAATGCATCGTTTTTGTCCGCTTCCCGCAAGCCAGGGAGCGCAGATCCATTGTTTTGTGTCGCGCTCTAGCAGCCGAAGGGCGCCAAGCATTGCCAGCTGTAGTGGGATTTTCCAACAGTGGCAGCCAGCTGTAATGATATATGATTGTCGTCCGATTACATCTGCATGGGAAAGGAGATTACGAAATGCTGGTGGAGGGATGAGGGGAGAGGCAGATCAAGTTAATTCCACGATTCCTCAAGGAGACACGGGCGGGGTTTCTGGGGGGGGGGGCGGGGGCGCGGCGTGTGTCTCGATGCCCCTGCTGGGATGCGATGCGGCCATCCTGGCCAGATGGAAGAGGAACGTGTTGGGAAGTGGTTGCCTGGCCTGCTCCCCCCCCCCTCCTCCCTCCCCCCTTCTCGAGGTGTTCCTCCACAATTACTCAATATGAATACTACTCTCCCTCTTCCCCTGATGACATCTTTTGCGCATTCGCCCCCCCCCCCGCGTATTCTTTTTTTACACACACGATTCCCCGGAGTTGGGTTTTCGCCTGCGTTTTTTTTCACAATGCTGCTCTCGCTGAGGCGCCAGCCTCATTTCTGCTCCCGAAATCGTTCCGAATCGTGCTCCCGCTGCAGCGTGGGCCTCATTTTCGGATCGGTGTTTGCCTCCGTCGTTCAGGATGGCGTTCTCGCCCCAGCGCGGGCCTCTTTCTCGCGCGCCCATCCGCCCGCCACCACCGCGCCGCACCACGCCCCGCCCCGCCGCACGCACACCCACCGCCACTTCCACCCACCAACGCACGCACGCACGCACGCGCACCACCACCGCGCACCGCCACCACCACCGCACTACCCCACCCACCACCACCACGCTACACCGCGTCACACCACATCACACGCGCGCACACACAGACACACACGCACGCACGCACGCACGCACGCACGCACACGCACACACACACACGCACACACACACACACACACACACACACACACACCACCACCGCCACCACCACCACCGCCATCACGCACGTACGCACCTGGCCCACCACCAAACCACCAAGACGCCACACCACGTCACACCACAGCACACGCGCACACACGCACACACACACACACACATACACACCACCACCACAACAACCACAACCACGCACACACGCACGCACGCACGCGCACCACCACCCACTACGCACACGCGCGCGGAGCCACAGGTCCGCTACGACACGCGTCCGCGGATAGAGAAAATCAGCGCCATGGTAAGGGATGGGAGGGAGGGGTAGGATGTCAGATGTTGACGCGAGCGCACCTAACTTGCCCCCTCCCCTCCCTCCCTCCCCCTCCCTTCCCCTCCTCAAGGTGCCCCTCCCCCCCCCCCCCCTCCCCTTCCATCACCCCCCCCTCCTCGAGGTCCCCCCAGGGGCGACGGGCGGGGCCTCGTCCCGACGGGCCCGCCTCTGGATACTTGTCTCTCCCTGGGGGCCGCCGCAGCCGATCCCACGGCCTTTTCGGCGCAGGTGCTGATGGTCACGCGCAGCAGCTTCGAGCACGCCCTGAACAAATACCCGGAGATGCGGGAGGCGGGCCTCGTCCGCGCCCGCATGCGCGTGGTGTCCAGATGTGAGCCGCCAGGGCATGTCCATATGTCCAGCAAGGCGAGGGTCGAGTGAGGGTCGAGGATCGAGGCCTGTGGGCGTCTGTGGGCTCCGCTGGGCCTCCATGAGGCGTCCCATTGCCGCGGCCAGACTAAAACACCGTTGGTTGAGCGCGCTCCAGGATGCGCGCTCCACCACGGAGCGCGCTCCAGGATGGATCTCCGAGGCTCAACTTTCGAGGTCCACGCGGATTGTTCTTGGATCTGCGCTGGATCCCCCCTGGCGGCGCCGCCCCCGACGTGCTCCGTGCGCCAGGGAGGGTCTAGCGCGGATCCAAGAAATCCGTGCGGAGTTCCGAGAGTTGATTTTCATTCCAGATGTTTGGAGCAGGAGGAGGAGGAGGAGGAGGAGGAGGAGGAGGAGAAGAAGGAGAAGCGACATCACCACCATCAGGGGGGCCGCCCCCATCGAGAAGGTCCATGGTGCCTTCCCGAACTGGGGATCGGGGATGTCTCGAGCGAGAGGGCGGGACACACCACCAGAGGGGCCCCCCCCCAACTCGTCCCGCTGGTGGCCCCTGGTGGTGGTGGTGTCGCTTTCCTTTTTTCCTATCCGGGGGTAGGGTCCAATACGATCCGATCGATCCGATTCGATATCGTTTCTGGCCAGCCCGATCCGATTCGATTCCAGCATTCCGCGGATCCGATGCGGCCCGATGCTTGCATGGCGCCGTTGTGCATCTTGGCGCAGCCGATCCGATTGGACTCCGACTACGTGCCGATGCAGCCCGACCCGATGCACATTTCGATCCGATCGGATCCACCGATTCGATGCTGACTGATCCTGCCCTCCCTCTCGCTCCGTGCAGGGTGGAGGAGGAGGAGGAGGAGGAGGAGGAGGAGGAGGAGGAGGAGGGGGAGGAGAAGGAGGAGGGGGAGGAGGGGGAGAGGAGGAGGAGGAGGAGGAGGAGGGGGAGGAGGAGGAGAGGAGGAGGAGAGGAGGAGGAGGAGGAGGAGGAGGAGGAGGAGGAGTGGAGGAGGAGGAGGAGGAGGAGGAGGAGGGGGGGAGGGGGAGGAGGAGGAGGGGGAGGAGGGGGAGGAGGAGGAGGAGGAGGAGGAGGAGGAGGAGGAGGAGGGAGGAGGAGGAGGAGGAGGAGGAGGAGGAGGGCTGGCTCGGGATCGCCCCTCCACACTGACGCGGCGGAGGCGGGAGCTGCCCCGGGGCCCCGAGGAGAGGCGTGCTGTGGACACCTCCCCGCCTCCCCGCGGGCGGGGGGAGGCGTTCGCGTCCACCTCGCGCTCCTGGCCCAGGCATGCGATGTCAGACATGATGTCTTGGTGTGTGTGTGTCATGATCGAAGAAGAAGGGGTACATCCAAGACAATGGAAACGTGCGTTACGAAGGGGGGATGGGGTGGGGCGCGGGGCCGGTGACGTCACGTTTCGCGCCGGCGCCGTCCCGGATCGGCGACTACAAGGGGTATGGTTCCGCCCGGGTGTGGTTTGCGGTCGGCACCGTTGTGGCCTGGGGGGCACGTCGGTGTCCTCGTCGGGCCTCCTCGGGGCGCGGGAGAACTCTGTCGAGGTCCCCGCGCGCCCCCCAGGGTGCCCCCCAGGGTGCCCCCCAGGATGTTCCCCGGGGTACTGGTTGCAGACCACACCCTTTGCAAACCACATCCTTTGGAGTCGCCGACGGGAACGTCCAGGGATAACCAGGAGCCAGTTCGGCGGTCAACACGATTCGTGACGTTTCCTGGGGGAGGGGAGGGGGCGGCCAGGGCTGGTGGCGGCCGCTATCGCGAGAGGTCAGGAGCGCTCTCATTTCCGAAGACAGGAAGGGCGGCATACATCCAAACTGTTGAGACAAGGAGTAGTTAGGGTTCGGAAGGGTCTCGTTGTTCCTCAGGCTCTTACGCGGTCTGTTCCGCCAGCGCTCCTCGTGCACACAGGCGCGTATGGGGCCTAGAAGGGGTTTCGTTCCTTCGTTTGGGGTTCGTGTGTTAGGAGCCCGACTGTAAACCTAAATTTTCGACCGCCCGCGCGGGTTCCTAGGATCTGCGCTGGCACCCACTGGCGACGCCTCTGGCGCCGCCCTTGGCGCGCTCCGCGCGCCAGGGAGGGGGGTAATCGAAGATCTTAGGAACCCACGAGGATCGTCAAGAGGTTGTGATAATGCCGTGTTTTTGTTCCTCCAATTGCTCGGCCCCCAGAAGTCACTACCTGTTCTCCAGAACCAGTTTTCCATCCCGAATAGTTTGTTGCTGGTCCCCGGGCCCTGCAAGGGCCCCCCGAGGCCGAAAAGGGCCAACAGCCGCCCGTCGAGAGCTTTTTTTCACGACGCGATCATATCTGGAAGGCCCCCCCCGTAGGGCAGGGCTGCAGGAGGCCGTGGGCTGAGAGATTGCGGTAGATTCGTGTCGTGTCGACCAGCAGCGACCCCGCCGCTGGCGATCCACGTTGAACGCCGATGGCGACCCAGAATCGGTCGAAGTTGAACGACCTGACGTCACGGAAGCTGCCGATCGTTGAAGGTTGAGCGATCGCCGGGGTGTTAGACACCAGCGCCAGGTGATCGTTGTTTATTTGTTGTTTTGCCGATCGGCGCGGGCCCTCGCACCCCCGCCCCATGGAGTGGATCTTGGCTGTTTTTGGGCGCCCGTTTCGAGCCGGTGGAGCCTCCCCCATAGGCCGCACTCTTGCAAGCAGTCGCCTTAAACAGAGGTCTCGAGCCAGACACCCCGCCCTCCCCCCTCCTCGTCCGGCCAATGTCGAAACGCCGAACAACACAACGCCCACATGTGTGTCATGATCGAACAATCATGGCGCCAACATCGCAGAGCGGATTTCGTTCGGAAAAAAAATAGGGTGGGCCCGGAGTGTCCTGGAGAATGTCGTACCCGATTTCGAGGTGAGTTTGGTGCGGATTTTTTGTTTGCCCGTCCCCCCCCTTCCGCCCAATGTCCAAACGCCGAATGAGAAAACGCTCGCAAGGGTCGACGCGGAGTCGATGCGGCACGAACTTGCTGTGCCGCCCCCCCTGACGGCGCGGGAGGTGCGCGCATAGCCTCGCGCGGCCACCCAGCTCTTTGCCCTGGTGGGTTCGGCATAGCGAATCGTCGGAGCCTCGCGCACCCTCGCAGTTCTGTCTTTCGGGGGCGGCCAAGAGGGAGGGTGATGACTAGAGTTAAGTCGGGCGTGTCCCTCTACAGAAGGAATATTCAAAAATAGTTACACAAATAGTCTGGGGACGATTTTCTTTACCATTTTTGAATATTTCTGTGAATCTATTTCGGGTATGTTTCATTTTTCGTCCAACTCCGCCTATCGGGGGACAGGCACGACCTAAGACCTAAGACTGGGGGGGGATATCATGGCGGGGTCCATGATATCTCCCCAGATTTCATGGCGCCTCTTCTTGTTTCACTACGTCCCAACCCCCCCCCTGGGCCGCGCACACGCCGCCGGTCATGATTTGCACCCCACCCTCTTTGCCGATGCATCGCCGATGCATTGGCGATGCGAAGCGATCCTCCGACCACATCTATTGTGACACCTTCCAGGAGGCCTCGAGTGTGGGAGAACAGCCGCTCGCTGGCTCGCATCTCGGAGTTGGTCTCCGGGGGGCGCTTGCGATCTGCCAGAGCAGAGCAGTAGCCTTAAGTCGGGCATGTCCTTCGGCAGGAGGAATGCTCGAGAGTGTGCAGCAATTTGTCTTGTGACGATTTGTCGTGCTCTTTTGATTTGTTTGACCATGCTTTATGGTTCTTCCAACATCCGCCTGTAGGATGACATGCCCGACCTAACAGAAGACCGCAGGGGATACTGCCAAGGAGGAGGGGGATGATAATGGTGATGATGCCGCTGATACGCCCTGACATTCCCTCATCGTGCCAAGCACCAGTCTTGGAACGTCGAACATAAGAATCCTTGACGCTGCGGTAAACTGTTAAGACGAAAGTGTGAGGCGCTCATACGAGATCCACATGTTGAAAAAGTCATCAACGAGATTGCAGTAAACCTTCCTCCAAGTGTCCTTTCATAGGCCCCTACAACGATTGAGTTTCACTGCGGGTGCCACGTTGGAAGACAGCAGGTTGAAATCCCCAACCGCGCCAAAACACTATTCTTGCGATTTGAACACCGCGAATCAACCTGATTGTTGCGTCTTGACGATCTGGAATCTTGCCAGACCATCACACCTGGGGCTTCACAACGACTCAACGTAATTGTTGCGCCCTAACAGCGCCGAGTGCGTCCCCGTTGAACTCTTGCACATGTTTTACACGAGTGGGCGCGGAGCTAAGGCGACAGCCACATGTTGAAGCTCTTACATGTTGAGGAGCCGCCCTCAATCCGTGAAGCTCTTACACAAAGACGCGCGCGGCGCAAACACGCAAACCACATTTTGAAGACGACAGCCCTCTATCTGTGAAGCCGTAGTGGTGAGGAAGTCGCAGGCGAAACGCCAGGCCCGACCTATCGACCGGCAACGGGGTATGACAGGGAGGAGTTGTTTATAAGAGCGTGGAATGGAGGACACGGAATTAGCAGAGGAGGAGGAGGAGGCCTAGGAGGAGGTGGAGGAAAAGGAGGAGGAGGTGGGAGGGGGATGAAGGCGAGGAGGAGGAGGAGGAAGAGGCGGAGGAGGGCGCCCCGCGGCGCAGGCGGCGCGCGCGCTGGAGCTTGAGGAGTCCAGGCGCTACAGGTGGCAGGTTGACCGCGCGAGGTCACTGGTCAAGACGCAGGCGGGGTCCGCCCCGCGGTGGCGGCTCCTAGGCGGCGCGCGAGGGGGTGGTGCGAGCCAGGGGCAACGCTAAGGAGGCCAGGCGGGGTGCGAAGGGGCCGGGTGGGAGACGAAGCTTCGAGGCTCGAGGTTCGAGGGTTTGGGCTTGTTTGTCGGCTCGGAAGTCCTTCCGGCCGCTGCGCTTCGCCGAGAGCGTTTGGGGCGGCCCGCAGCTCCACACAGTAGCCAAGTTTGTGGGACCAGCATGGGATGAGCTGAGGAAGTCGCTCGAGGCCGAGCGGTCCAAGCTCCGCCACCCCCTGCAGGCTAGCCGCCCAGTTCACTCGCAGTTGCACATTGCCACCACGCGCATCGAGGCGGCGGAGCGGAAGCTTACCAAGGCCAGGGAGCATTTGGAGAGGCAGAAACAGCAGTTGGCCCAGCTGCAGGCCAACATCCAGCAGGCGGAGGCCGACATTGCGGCCCAGGAGGAGGCCAAGCAGGAGCTCCTCCTGCAGCGGAACCGCTTGGTGGCCGAGGGGGTCCATGTCAATGGGGGCGGTGGTCTGCCGCCTCCCACTTTGCAGCTCAATCTCACGAAGCTGCAGGAGGTCCTCTGGCGTCTCGGGCTGCCTGAAGATGTGGAAGGCAAGGCCAAGCAGCTGGCGTAGGCTTTCCCTACCATCGTGGCCAACGCTGCCTTGCTGCAGGCGGCCAGTGGCACCGTCCCAGCCCCAGCGGAAGGCGGCGGCGCAGCAAGCGAGGACCCCGTCAGGCCCCCTGGCATGCCATTGGCGGTGCGACAGTGTGCCCCAGATCAGCGTACGGTGGACAAGTTCAGGGAGCAACTGGAGCCTTTCAGCCTACTGCCCGATGGAGCAGCGGATGATTTCGTTCGGCAGCGGGCGAGGGCACTGGCAGGCCGCAGCTTCAATCCAGAATACTCTCTCTATTGATTGCCCCCTGTGCCAGCACGTGCAGCCATGAGAACGGACAGGGGGCGCGCGCGATCATAGTCAATTTTGTCAGTGCGGCGGTCGGCCCGAGGCTTTCTGCGAGTTCACTTACCTCTCGACAGAAGAGGAGGCGGCCTTCACTTGTTTTGAATCGGGCTGGCAAGAAACACAGCCCATCCACACCTCGTCGGCGACAGTTCCGGGTCCGTCGGCATCCGATGTCGTTTGCACTTTGAGTTCGAGGACAACGGGTTCGGCATCCACGATTCGCTGGGAGGCATCTTCAGCTGCTGCAGCCTGTGGGCAGGTCTTTTGGTCTGGACGTTATTCCAGCTATCCCAACCAAGCCTGACCTGCTGGACGGCTTCAGCCCGGCATCGTCGCCTACCCCTGCCGCTGGACCGGTTTTGGAACGCCCGTTGCCGCTGCTGGAGCAGCCCCGGCCGCGGTCGGAAGGCGCGGGCCGTTTCGGGCCCGAGACGGAGCAGCTGGCCCTGTCAACTCACGCCTCGGCGGTCGGACCAGCCGAACATGACTTTCTCTGTTTGGATTCGGCTCTGGCGCTGGAACAGCCCACTGGGAAGCGAGTTCTGTCGACTGCCACGATCAATGGTAATACCTAGGCCTCAGCGAAGGAGGTCAGTCTTTGGCTGGACAAGAACGCTGGGATTCCTGACATCATTCGCTTTCAAGAGCATGGATTTCTGACAGACCAGGCAGGGCGCTCAGCGCACCAGCGGAGCCGATCAGGATCCATGAAGTTGGCTTCGGGTCCTTCCAGGCGCGCAGGTGGTGGTCATCTTCAGGCTGAGGTCTCTTCTGGAGCGTTGATTATGACATATGTTTGTCCTGGGGCTCGCAGGATCATCGAAGTTCCCGAGAGGTGGCAGCACCGTTTTCTTCTCAAGCTCATCATTCTGTCTTCGTCATCGGCGTCGTTGGTCGGTTCGGTCTATGCTACCGCGGGCATCGGAGCGACTGGCGAAAATCTGGACCTCTTGGACTATCTGGCGTCGGTCGTGCTAGGCTACCCCTGGCCATTTCTGCTGGGGGGGCGACTGGGACATGGGCCCATAGGGCGTTCTGGAGACAGGCTGGCTCGAGCTCGTTCTCGGCAGCATCCGCGCCACCCCGCATGCGACCTGCTGAGGGAATGTGCGCGATTTCTCTGTCCAGTCCAACCTGTTGGATGCGTTTGACTGCCAGGTTCAGGTGATAGGAATCTCCGCTATCACCGCACTCCCCATTTCTCACGCGGCCCGTCGGGATAGTGGGCGAGCCTTATGTTCGCGAGGAGATAGCCTGAAAGTCAGTTCCGTCGGTTCCGATTGGGTTCGATCCAAAGGCCCGCGCTGTGGCGGCACCTGCAGAGCCGCTAGAGGAGCCAGCGTTCACTTCTTCGCTCGGCTCCGCACGCGCGGCTTTGCAGGAATGGCCCCGCATGGTCGAGTTGGACTTGCGCGCGCGCCCCCATGTGGCTGCAGAGGAGCAGGCGGCTTTCACAGGCCGTGCTCGTGGGCCGCGTTTCAGAAAGGCGATGCTCGCGACGCGTCTGGCCCGTCTCAAGCACTACCCCGACACGGAGAATACGTCGCTGTGGAGAGGGGCTCTCAAGTTGCGGGAGCAGCTGAAATCGCGGGGGGTAGCGCCCACGGGATCTAGACGCAGGCGCGCTGACCGACGGGAGCGCGTCGAGAGCAAGCTGAGGGCCATTTCGCTGCCGGCTGCCGTTTCAGGTTCGGAGATTCTCAAGGAGCTTCAGATACGGAAGTGGATCGACCTTACTTACGCTGCGAGGGGGGTGCTCTTTGCGAACGGTTTCGCGATGTTTTAGCGCAGGAGGTGCGACTTAGGCAGCAGAAGGACGCTTCGGAGCGGGCACAGCAACGGTGCAGTTGCTCTACGGAGGCCCTGGGAGGACATTCCACGGTGGCGTTTGCAGTTATTCGTAGCAAGCCGAAAGAGGGGGAAGCCATTATTTCAGGAGGGCTCGCCTGTGCAGGCCAGAGTGCAGTGGAACAGATCGCTCGTGAATGGGATGTTGTTTGGTGCCCTCCGGAACGCGACCAAGAGCCGCCTTTGAGTTCTTGGAATACCGAATGGTCATCACTTCGGGATATATCAGCAGATGATATTTACAGCGTGCTCCAGTGTTTCCCACCTGGTACAGCTCTAGGGCGGGAGGCATTCCACCCGCGGTTCTTGCGTTTCGCTAGCAGGGCATCGGTGGAACGACTCGCCAGCTTCCTTTCGGCGCGGGAGAAAAATCCGACTTGCGAGACGCCCCTCGCTGTCATCATTGCGTTCCTTCCCATGCCCGCGGGGGGGGGGGTCCGTCCTATCGGGCCCCTCAGTTCGGTCGCTCGCATTTGGAGTCGGGTTCGACAGCGGGAGGTTCGACGATGGTGGCGCCAGGTGAACGACCGGGCGTTTTGGGGAAAGAGTGGAGCGACCTCGGCAATGAGAGCCAGTTATATTCACAAATTTCTTGGCGCGCCATGCGCGGCGTGAAGGGGTTTGTCTCCATCTCGTCGTTTTTCGACATTGCGAAATTCTACGAGAATGTTTCTCATGAGGAGCGACGGCGCACTGTTTCCCACTTCGGATTCAACGTGGGGCTCCTCGAGGCTCTCTGCACTGTCTACAGGTCTCCTCGGCGCGCCAGATGGGGGGCGAGCGCCAGCGAGCAGATCTCGGCGAACGGAACGGTCATAGCAGGGTGTTCTTGTGCGACGGGGGTCTCCAAATTTATGTTGCCGTCCGTCTCGGGAAGTCTGGCTCGGGGGGTCCCGCCATGCAGGGCCATCAGCGCGATCGACGATTTGACTGGCGACATCATTATGGGGTCCAGAGACGGCGATCAGATCCGCGGGTCAGGCGCGCGCCCTGCTTCAGAAGGGCATGGAGGAGGTCAAGCTACCCATCTCTTGGGGCACAAGTTTTTGGCTGTGTCCTGATAAGAGTCGCGTTCCGAAGGTCCCGGGGGCCGAGGGTTTCTGTCTCGGGGGCCACGAGGGGGCGCTGGCTCGCAGGGATCTCGGATGGGGGCTCGAACAGCGGCCACAGCAGGCGTCTCGGAACCCAGATCACCAGGACCCAGGAGGCCAAGAAGATGGGGGCCCGTCTCGCCTGTTCGGCTCAGGCCCAGTCGCGTCCAGGATCTTCCGCGCGGCACCCGTTGCCAAGTCCATCTTGGGCACGGCCAGCCTGGGCATTTCCGACATCTCCCTGGGACATTTTCGCCTTCCGGCTGCTGAATCCGCTGGGGGGGTGGGAGGGGGGGGGGGGAGGGGGGCGCGAGGGGCCGTGTTCTTGGGCGCCCTTCGGCGCGGCGCAGAGACTTGCTAGTGGCGACGGCGGCGCTGCGCATCAAAGAGTTCGTGCACGTCTATTGGCGCAATGCGGTCCCCAGAGAGGTCTTTCAAAGCGGGTTCGACGACGCACGAAGGATGCTCACCGTCGCTCGTCCTTGGGCTGCGGTGAAGCAGCCCATCGCGGCCATGGTGCTCACGCTTCGTCGACTAGGTTGGTCGCTAGATCTGGGCGCCAACGAGGTTCGCGACGACGTGGGCAGGGGTTGGTCGTTATGGAAGTTCTCGCTTGCATTCTTCGGCAACATTATCAAGGCCCGCGCGCGCAGGGCCATTGAAGGTGATAAGCAGGCCAGGCGAGCGGCTTTCAAGCAATGGAATAGGCCGATGTTCTGGGCTCCGCTTTCTGAGCTGCCGTGTCAGAAAAAATCCAGGATGGCGCGATCATCGCAAGAGTTGCTTGAAATCCATGGTGGCCAATGTTTATTGGAGCCAGCAGCATATTAATTATCATGCGAAGGAGATCGCGCGCGTCTGCCAGCTTTGCCATGGTGCTGCAGGGGCGACGTTTCATCGGATAGTTGACTGCCCCGCACGCGCTGTTTGGAGGCGCGAGTATCTGGGCGATTGGGTTCGGCCGGCGGCGGCCCGAGTCTCATTTCTCGCACTTGAGGACCACGGCCTTTCCTGCAGAGGATTCTTTCCTGATCCAGGTCGTTTTGTTCGGTGGCCAGAGAGGATTGCCGAGGGCCCGTGCACGAAGAGGATAAACTGGCCTTGAGAGGGGGTCATTTTGCAGGCTGATCAGCATGTGTACACCGACGGGTCGGGGCTCGAAATGTTGTGGCCATTTTTAAGGGCCGCGGGATGGTCAGTCGTTGTTGCAGATGCGAACGGCGAGATTGTTTCGGCCTCTTCGGGGTCGTACCACTTACAGAAGGGCCAGACCAGATTGCCAGAGACGGGGGATATTATGCAGTACTCATGTTATCTCGGAATGCTACAGCGGCCCCTGGAGTCACGGTTCAGATCGATTGTTCTGGCACGTTGGGCTGCACCAGGCTTCTGGGATCCTCTTGCTGAACAGTGGGCGCTGAACAGAGGGCGCATTGGTGGAGTGGGATCGGGGGCAGATTACAAGGGGCCAGATTCGCAAAGGTGCCTTCTCACATGCCCTACTACGCGGCGCGCGTGGGAAAGCTTTCCCACGGGGACTGGCGCGGCAACCAGGAGGCCAGTCGTCTTGCCAAAGAGGGGGCCCTGCCATTTCGGGCGGACGACGGGGACCTTTTGCACTTGGGTGGCCTGCACGAGATTGCTAAACGTGTCGCTCGTTATGGGGCCCTACAGCAGGCTGCCCTTTCCCATGCTGAATACAGAGATCACGCGGGGTTCGAGAGGATGAGTAAAATTGAGTCGGCTCCAGTTCCAGGCCCCCCGATTCCAGCCTGCTGTGGGGGTGGCAATCAGGGCGCCGAGGGGCCCCACGAAGCCCTTCCAGATGAGTTTGTTCAGGAGTCTTTGGCTTGGAACGCGCACTACATTCGGAAGGCCATGGTTCTCGAGGACGGGGTCCAGGTCGATTCGATGACTTTCTGCACCAGTTGTGGCAGCAATGCGTCTTTGGAGTGCCGGCTCATGCGAAATCGGCGTGGAAACTACGCTCCAGGTGCCGCCCCCGAACCTGCCCTGGAGCCAGGAAGCTATCCAGGACAAAGAAAGGCTTCATCCCCTGTCCAGTTCGAGTTGCACGGTCCAGGAGGCAGGCGGGCTGAACCAGTTCGAGGCCCAGCAGTGAGCGCTCTTCCTGGAGGACTCAGAGGAGCCCAGTAGGGGCGAGGGCCAGGCTGCCGTCCGTTCGTCGAGTTCGAAGTTTCGAGCGAGGAGCGGGGCCCCCGGGATTGACCTCGGTCGAGGTCTGGCCCTTTTTGGCCCGTCGGAGGGCGAAGCGCGGTCCCTGGGAACCCAGGCCCGCGAGCGGAAGCGCTCTCGTTCTGTGGAGGAGGAGAGCTCTTCCCCGATGGGCCATGACGGCCCTGCGCCCACTTTTGGGGCGGCCCGGCGCCTCCCTCGCGTCGTAAGCATTTTCTTCTCTTTGCATGATGAATGAGGTAGCATCTTTCTGCTCTAGAGCTAGCGAGGAGGATCTCACACGCCGCGCTGGGTCGATGCGGGGCCAGTCGGAACGGGCGCCCCTGAGCTCGGAGGCGCACCTTCGGCAGCAGGGCCTCCATCGGCGGGGGCGTCAGGAGCCGCTTGCGTTTCTTGCCCTACCGCGCGCGATGTTGGGCATGCTGGTCACGCATGGCCCTGGCGTGGTCCAGGGCCTTTGCGAAGAGCCACTTGGGGAGCTCAGATAGACCTTCCGCCAGCTGCTGTTCCTGGCCGCGGTTGAGCTCCTCCACGTCCTCATTGGCAAGTTCATTCTCGTCCTCCACACCGTCGATCTGGAAGGAGTCGAACTTGCCAGCGACCAGGTCCTCGATATTGATGATGGGTGCCTCGGGAGCGGGAGTGTCCGAGCGCACCACCGACGCCAGCTTGTCCACGAGCTCCGCGTAGGACTCCTCCTGACGCGTGAGCTGGCCAGAGATGAAAGCGATGTGCAGGCGCTGCTTCTCCATCTCTGCCTCCCAATTGTCCAGTTTGTCGAGCTCGTACTGCAACTTCTTGGCCAGGCGAAGGCGCTCTCTCTCTCTCTCTCTCTCTCTGACACTGCGCAACTCGTTGTTCCAAGGGAACTGGAACCACAGGACATGCGGTTAGCTTAGAGAGCTGCTCCTGGTATTTGTTGGCAGACTCCTTGTCTCCAGCGCGACCAGTGAGGTCGATGAGTAGGGCAAGGTCCTTGGTGAGAAGGCCAGGCTGCACCGCCCCGTCGCGAGCCCCGCCGACGGCCGCAGCACCCGTCTGTGGCGGAGCTCCAGCGGCGAGCGGGCCAGGGCGCAGTGGCTGGTGATGGCGGTCAACGCCAAAAAAACGAAGACCATCACCCTCATTCTGCCAGGCACCTTGCTTCTGCCACTTCGTCCCGCAGTGCTTGCACCAGAACCACGAGAGCTTGTTCCTGTTGCATCCGCACGCCGAGCAACGCCAGGTAGACTGCACACGGTTGCTGCCACCACCATGGCGTTGCGCCATGCGATGACTGAGAGCAACAAATGAAAGAGGAACGCAGGCGCCACCTGCGTACTGTAGGCTGCAAGGGATGCAGGCGCCACTTGCTCACGGTAGGCTGAATAACGAAGCCAGAAGGTTCGGTCGTGCAGCGCTGTTTTTAAGTTCGCACGACCCAGCTCATAATCAATCTGAGCCAGAACGGCTGGAGGACGAGGAGGAGGAAAAGGAGGAGGGAGGAGGACTAGGCTGAGGAGGAGGAGGGTGACGAGGACGAGGACGAGGACGAGGACGAGGACGAGGAGGAGGAGGAGGAGGAGGAGGAGGAGCGCGGCGACGTCGCCAGCGTCGACGGTCCTCGAGATGCGGCGTCGAAAACAAAACTGCACATTGTAGAGCATCACAGGTGGAGCCCTTGGGGGCACCTCCCGCGCTGGATCGATCTGCGAGGGCCCTGGTGCCCGACAATGGGCGAACAAGTCCGGCGTGCAGGAATTCGATCACCCGGATCTCGTGGGCCCCCAGTCGGTGCCGTGACCGCACATTGTTGTGAGTCAGTGGGGGTGCGGGGTGGCCTAACGATTTCGGGACTTGACTCGTTCTCCGAGGATCTCTCGGGCGAGTGGGGCCTCCAGGGTCCCAAAACGGTGCGGTGACGGACCGGAGGCCTCTGGGGATTTTGAGGTCACCGCACGTTCTGCCACCGCACCGTCTCGGGGCCCCCAAGAAGAGCGGGGGGAGGGAGGGAAGCGTCATGACGCCCATGGAGCATTCGGAGGAGGGTCCGTCGAGACACTGGCGGCGTTCCCCGGAGTCCTTCGTCCTCGCTGGATCCTTCTGGAGGCGTCTCGTCGCCAGGGCCTGGTCCGCCCCGAGAGGCGTGTCAGGATGGAGCCCGGGAGGGGTCCAGAGACAGATTTTGAGCGGAGTTTTGGCCGGGCGGGAGAGCCATCGTCGTCGTCGTCGACGACGCTGACGGTGGCGCCGAGAGTGGCGGTGTTTTTGCGAGGCTGGGGCAGGGATCGAATCGACGCTCCGAGGAAGCCGAGGCACCCGATACATCCTCCAGAGCCGTCGGATCTTCAGGGATTCCCGATGTATCCCTGCACGATTTTGTCCCTGCCATGGCGTCGTGTTAGGTGGCCAGGGGCAACGATAGGGGGGGATAGGCATAGGGGGGAATGCATCGACCCCCAATCGCCCACTGATAGCCGATAGGGGCCCGATAACCCCAACCTGCCCAGGAAGGTGCGGATTCACTATCGGGGGCCTATCGCCGATCTATCGGCGATGTATCGCCGATTCCAGGTCGATGTTTCCCCCCCTATGCCTATCCCCCCCTATCGTTGCCCCTCGGGTGGAGGTGGCGACGCCGGCCGCGGTCGATCGGGCGCGCGATCGGCAGGTGCAGCGTTCCCAGAACTTGCGCTGCATCATGGAGGCCTTCGGGGGCGTGGCCCGGCTGCGGCCGGCGCCAGAGACGATGCGGTCTCGCATCGGGCCGAACGAAAGGGGGGATAGGGGAAGGGGGGGTTACGAAATCTGCTGCATGCAGCTGGTTGCGGCCCCGCCGCCGGGCGCATTCCTCATGGGAGCCTCCCGGCGCCAGGAGGCGCTGGGAAAATCAGCTACGTGAGCTGATTCTCTACCCTACCCTTTGCTATCTCCCCCTTTCGTTCCCCCTGATCGTAGTTTCGAGAGGGTCGAGGCTGGAGGTTACAGGATTGTTTGAGGGTGAAGGCTCGAGGGATCAAGGGTGGAGGTTCGAGGATCCTTGGAGAGTGGAGGTTTGATGATCGAGGAGTCGAGGATCGTTTGAGGGTTGAAGTTCGAGGATCCAGGGAGGACGTTCGAGGATCGAGGTTCGAGGCTGGAGGTTCGAGGATCGAGGGTGTCGGCCGCCCGGGGCGGCGCAGGAGCTGCTGGCTATGGACACAGCTTGCTTGTGTTCGGAAGCCGCGGTGCTCGGCGGTGGCAGAGACCTCAAGGTTCGAGGCCTAGTGTGGGCTCGCACGAGCGTGTTACTGCTTCCTTCCGCTGGCATGGCGGAGCAGCGCGCGCGTTCGCGCGCCGTGTCTGGTCGCATCACGTCTGGGTTCGAGGTCTAGTTTTGGGTTTGATCCGTTGCGGGCGCGCACGAGCGTGTTGCCGCTTCCTTCCGCTGGCATGGCGGAGCAGCGCGCGCGTTCGCGCGCCGTCTGGTCGCATCACATCTGAACTGAGCTGAGATGTGCCTTCAGGGAGCTCCTCGTCGCCATTGATGTATTCCCCTCGACAATCTGGTCGGAGCGCACACCAGGACAGGCTGGGTGGCAGTTAATTGTCAGCCACGCGCCGAGGGGGGTGGAGGGAGGGGGGAGGGCTTCTTAGAATCACCCCTGCTTTTTAGAAGGCGCGGGCCTTATCTATAGATGTAGGGCTGGCGCCTTCTAAGAAGTAGCCTCCTTCTAAGAAGCCCTCCCCCCACCCCCTTCTGCGCGCCGCCAAAATTGACACACGCCCCCCCGGCTGAAGATACTTGGGAGGGCATTTCGCCGCCGTATCTGAAAGAGATCCTGTTCCAGGGTGCGCTCCAGGTCCTTTGCTCCGCTCTGGGGTCCTGGGGCCCTCCGGGCCTCGTGCAGGGGTGGTGGGCCTCCCAGGACGAACTAGGGTCGTCTGTCGCCAAGGCTGTCATGGGCAACGGGAGGGGGGGGAATAGGCTCAGGGGGAATGCATCGATCACCAACCGCCCAGTGATCGCCGATATGGGGCCCGATAGCCCACCCCGCCCAGGAGCGTGCGGATTCGCCATCGGGGGCCCATCGCCAGTCTATCGGCGATGTACCTCCGATGCCAGGTCGATGCTTTTTCCCCCCGAACCCGTCATCCCCTTGTCGCTGCCCCTCAGTACCTCTCTGGCAAGCACCCGGAAATTAACGGCTTACAAAACGCCCCTACCCTGGTTTTCAAGGCGTTGCGCGCTGAACCTCTTGTGGGCTGACAGGGTAAACCCTGCGCATCGCGCGTGCCGCGCGGCGTCCTGGCGGCTCTCTGGCCCTTGGGAGCTCTCAGGAGGCTTACAGACCACGCACTTGCAACCCAGGGTAGGGGCACTTCTGCATCCCTCAAGGAACGTTACCAGGGATGCACCTCGTCAGCGCGGCGACAGGCGCAGATGCTCCCAAACAGAAGTCGGGGAGACGTGCGGCTCGAGCTCGCCTGAATGCTGGCTTGCCGACGCTTTCTGACGTGGTCCGTCCTGAAGGTTGGCGGTCCAGCTCTCACGGGATACCTGGAGCGGGAGTTTGCGTGAAGTTGCAGGCTGGGTCTCGTGACTGTTTTGGCGGCCCTGTGGCGCCCACCCGCGGCGCCTCCAGGACTGGTCCTCGGCGGAGCGCCTGGAGAGGAAGTGAGAGAGAGCAGGCCTTCTCAGAAGGCGGCAGTGTTTCTCAGAAGCCCTCCGGCCTTCTGAGAAGGCGCCGGTGTCTTCGGAGAAGGCTTAGGCAGCTTCTCAGAAGGCCGGAGGTCTTCGAGCCTTTGATAAGCCCCCCCCTCTGCATGTCACGAGCGGCGCACGTACCCGTATCCGCGCCCTCGTGGTCTGGAATTCGGGGTGCGATCCCGCGGATACGCAGTCGCACGCATACGCTCCGATCGGGGCATGCGCGAACAAAACGCCCCGTATCCGCGGAGTCTCGGCCCAGGGGCCCGGGCCGCGAGGCCGCGGATACGGACATGTTTTCCGCCGACGAGCACGCGACGGTGCCCCCCCTTTGGCCTCGCCGCCGAACTGGTGCCCACCCGTGGGTCCCGTTCCTGCAAGCCAGGTGGTGCTCACCCGCGGCGCCTCCGAGGACTCCGAGACGCGCAGGCGCCCGCGCCGGGCCGCCCCTCCTCCCTTGCAGGTTTCTCGGGCGTGGCCGTCTTTTTTTGGGGAGCCTGTATTTCACGTGCGGCCCAGGGGCCTCTCTGTGTTCGAATTGTTTGTTGTTGTTTTAGTTGTTGGTTTATCTTCCTCCATTTTGTATTGCTCTCTCTCTTTCTCTTTCCCCCCTCTCTCTCTCTTCCCCAGCCTCACTATCTCTCGCTCTCGCGTTCTTTCTTGTCTTTTCAATCCCTACATGTGTTGTATGGGCAAACATCTCACTTGCATTCAGGTAGGCGTATTTGTGTACACAGATGTGCAATGGGTGCGGGTGACATGTAACTATTTATGCACGCATATATTCGCATGTGCGTGTATATGTATAGGTATGTGTGTGCATGTGTGCAATTATGTGTGTATGCATATATGTATGTGTGCATGTATGTTTGTATGTATGTATGTATATCTGTATGTATGGATGTTTTCATGGCTGCATGACTTAGTGAATGAAGGTAGGTAGATGTATGAGTAGTTTCATGTGTAGACACATGTGTATGCATACGTATGCATGTATGCATGCGTTCGTGTGTGTATTTACGTCTGCCTGTCTGTCTGCCTGTCTGTCTGTCTGCCTGCATGTCGGTATGCATGCATGTATGTATGTATGTATGTGGGCATGTATGCATGCATGTTTGTGTGTATGCATGTATGTATGTATGTGGGTATGTATGAATGTATGTATACATGTGTATACATGCGCACAGCTGTATGCATGTATGACTGCAGTGATGTATGGATGTGTGTGTAGGTGTGTAGGTATGGATGCACGCGTCTATGTATGTATCAGATAGGAATGTATATAGGTATGCTGGTTTGTTGTATGACTGGTCAGTCTGCTTGTATGCATGAATGCATGTTGATATGTAGGTGTGTATCGATGTACGTGTTCCCGCACGCATGCATGCATGCATGCATGCATGCATGCTTGGTTATATACATGTATGTGTGGTTGTACGTATGTATGCGTGCATGCATGCATTATGCACGTATGTGGATAAGTATGTTGGCGCTTCACATACCTCAGTCATGACGCCTTTAACTGAGCTTAGATGCCTTCAAGTGGCGAAGGATGCATCGCTGATCTACATTGGGCTGGAGCGTCTCTTGGTTGTTTGCCCTGAGGGAGGCTTGTGCACTGCACGCGGAAATGTCCTCAATACCTGGGCCTGTAATGAGGCATTCATGTCCTCAGATGGGAATATGGTCCTGTCGTCATTATTTCCGGCTACCGAACTTCCTGGCCAGCTTCACGAGCTATTGGGCATCACCATTTCCGATGATCCTCACATGCAATATTTCAGGCCATTGGCGGAAGGGTGCCCAAGTGTGTTCCTCAGGGAGGTTTGCAGAAGACTATGCTTTAACGCCCCACATCCATGTGGCCCCATTGGCCCTCACCTTCTCATTGGTTGCACTGCCCCATGCGCCAAAGGCATAGATTTGGTGTGTGCCCCTTCATTCTCAGGGACAGTTGCTGCCAATCTCGTTTGTGATCGGCCCCACGGCATCAGTCGGCACGACTTTATTGAGACGCTGGTTGATGACACTGGCCTTCCCCGCTCCTCGATTCGCTCGGAGCCAGCAGGCATGCAGTGCCCAGTGACTGCGCTGGCATCGGACAGGACGGGCCTCAGCTGCCTGCCGACGGGTGGGCATGCTGAGCTGCACATCTTTGTTGTGAGGCTGGATGAGGCTACCTCTACTCAAGCCGTGTGCGCGTCGTCGATGTTTCCAGGTAGGGCGTGGCGTGTTGACGTGAGGGCCCCACACACTGTGCAATTCTTAGATGCCCCTATTCGTCATTGGTCCGAAAGATACCCGTACCCGGGGCCAGCCAAGGTGAGATGGGCCGTCTGGGAAACTGGGCGTTTGATATTGTGCCCGGTCAGCACGCCCCGCGCGCGCCAGTGCAGCATCCGCGCGTCAAGACGCAACGGCGCGCTCGATGGTTGGGTGTCTGATTGCAGCGACAAGCGCTGGTTTTTGTTATGGACGTCTCGGGGCATCGTGGTGCGTGCGCGGTTCAAATCCGCCCATATGTGGCGGCGCTTGTCCCAATCGTTAAAGAGTTGCATGTCCTCGCTATCCTGGCAACCAATGCGTCTGGGCCTGCCCTGAGGAACGACGTTGCAATGTCGCGCCCCCAGGGGGCCGCAGCGGCCACGTCGGGGACGGCTCTGGAGGGCATGATATGTGCTCGAGAGCGTGTTGGGCCTGCCGCCACCTCGGCTAGGTACGGGGACCTGCCTGAAACCACCGAAACATACCCGGACCTAGCTGAGGTGAGCTGCGGCACCCCGGCTAGGTACGGGTATGTTCTTGGGGTTTTCATGGGGCAACCGTACCTAGCTGGGGTGATCCGCGGACGGCCGTCAAAGGGGGGCGGCCTCCGGCGACCTCGCCCAGGGCACAGATTCGCGATGTCTCTGCACCGAGCAATTCGCGATAGGGCGGTTGTCGCGCAATGACGTTCGCGCCAGAGTTGCTCGCATGCGCCCCCGAGTGCGCGTTGACTCCTCAACGCCCGGATGTGTGTCTGGGGGCGCGCCTCCGCAGTAGGTGGTCTACATCGACAACAACCAACGCAGGGTCGGGCACTCCGCCGATTCGAACGCACGTGCGATCGGTGCTAACGTGCGCCCCGAGAAGACAGCGGTCTGTAATGCTCGATCGGCTGTCGTTTCTACACTTGTGCAGCCGCCGTCAGTTGCGACGAGCCGCCCCCCCGGCCCCTTGCCACCCTGTCTAGGAAAGGGTACGGGTATCTTTCGCGCTCGAAAATTCGGTTGTCTTGCGTACGGGCCATAGTTGGTTCGGGGGCTCGAGGTCAACGGAATGTTGAACGGTCACGTTTGTCAGATGGCCTTGGTTGTAGCGCATTTCAAGCTCAAGCGATCCCGTCATCTGCACTTTGCGCAACACCCGCCGGCGTTGATTTGCCCGACTTGTCACCCCCCCCATGCCTACCGATGCGGACGTGAGTGACGACGTTGAAGTTGACGTCACGCCGGAGATGTTGGAACACATGGATGATGCGGGAGCAGTTCAGGAACATCGTGACGCTAGCCCTGGGCCAATGGCCGTCGCCATGCCTGCGGGAGCTACGCTCCTCACCTTGCGGATCGATGCTCTCGTATGTCGGGGGTCAGCCGCTCAGCTTGCCAGCCTTGAAGCAGCCATGGAGCATGCGCGATCGCGGGTGGTCGCCAGCGGTTCGAAAGCGACATACCCTCGTGGCTTGAGAGGCCGGTACGTCCTGGTGCATCCTGCCGATCTGGACGAGCTTGACCCCTGCCACATTGTAGAGCTCCCTGTGGTGCGGACAGCGACTTCGGCTACGATCTGTGGCTTGCCAAGGCGTGGACACTTGGGTGTCGTCGGGTCTTTCGATTTCTCGAGCATTGTGGCTGGACACAATACCCAGCATTTGGTTCGGGCTCAGCCCGTGTCAAGCCCGCGCCTCGTACCGCCAGATGGCGTGAAGCTCCGCGGAGATAAGCCAGGCACGCTACTGCGCCAATCCAGGGCGTTCCAGGCTGTGGTCAGACGGCGACGGCGGCGGAGGCCGCGGGGTGTCATTCTGAGGAGGCCCTGCCCGTGGACCCCCCGTGGACCCCCCGCGCGAAGGCTAACCAGCTTGGGGGGACAATCAGACCCAGAGGGGCCTCGTACAGGCCTTCATTATGTTCAATGTACGTACGTATGTATGTATGTATGCATGTATGTATGTATGTACGCATGTATGTTTGTATGGACATACATATGTATGGACGTGCGTATGTATGTATGTGTGTATGTATGTACGTATGTATGCATACATGCATGCATGCATGTATGTGTGTATGCATGTATGTATGCATGTATATATGTATGCAGGTATGCATTTATGTATGTATGTAGTTATGTATGTATGTATGGTTGTATGTATGTATGTATGTATTTATATATGTATGTGTGTATGTATGTATGTCTGTAGGTCTACATGTATGTATGTATGCATGTATGGATGTATGGATGGATGGATGTATGTATGTATGTATATATGTATGTATGTATGCATGCATGTATGTATGTATGTATGGGTGTATGCATGTATCTATGCATGCATGTATGTATGTATATACGTATGCCTGTATGTATTTATGCATGCATGCATTCATGTATGTATGTATGTATATACATATGTACGTATGACTGTGTGTCAGTATGTGTGTATGTGTGGTTGTATGTGTATGTATGTGTGTATGCATGTATGCATGTATGTATGTATGTATGTGTGTATGCATGCATGCATGTATGTATGTACGCACGCATGTATGTATGGAGGTTCGTACGTACGTGCGTGCGTATGTATGTGTCCATGCACAGATGCATGATGAGTGTATATATGTATGTATGTGTGTATGTATGGATGTAGTTATGTATGTATGCATGTATGTATGTATGCATGTATGTATGCATGTACGTATGTATGTATGTATGTATGTATGTATGTATGTATGGATTGATGTATATACATGTATGTGTCGACATGTTTATATACGTGCACATGCGTTTATGCATGTATGCCAGAGTGAGGGGGCCGAACGGTCATTCATTGTCCCTGAGTGCGTGGCCGAAGTGAGAAGATGGGGTGAGGACTCTGCTTGTTGCGTTGTTGCGTTGCTGTTGTTATTGAACTCTCACTTCTGAAGAGTAATTAGTGTTGATCCCCCCGTTCGGTGCAACAACGGCTTCCGCGTGAGACTTCCTCACAATTTAGCCAGGACCCCCGCTCCCGCCCGAGACTTCCTTGCATTTGATTCAGGAGTCGCGCTCTCGCATAATTCATTCGGGAATCGCTCTCTCGGCGCTCTGGAGTCGCGCTCTCGCTGGAGACTTGCTTGCAATTTACTCAAGAAGAGCGCCCTTGTTGGACTTTCCTTCACTCAAGCGCCGCGCTCCCG